AATCCGCAAGAGCGCGCGGGATGAGATTTTGACAATTTTTTGTTGAAAAACCATTGGTTTTTTGATGTTTTTATGTTAAAATCGCTGCGAACACTAAGGTTTTGGAAGGATTTCGTCTTGCGCGCGCGAATGTCCACTTTACCTTATTTTTTGCAAGGGATTCTTGAAATTTGATTATATTAGAACAAGAAATGTCATTTTCTATTGTTTTTGCAAGGGAAAGCGGATTACAACAAAACAACCGGATCCTGTACACACCCTCATTTCTGAGGCTTCCTCACGAAAATGATGAAAATGTAGCTGCGGCCTAGGCGGCGCAGGGGGGGCGCGCACCAGGGGGCCCAACAATAATTATTCTTTAGAATAAATAATGTTCAACAACAACAACAACAACAACAACAATCAGTTTAAGACTGCTCGCCCTTATCTGCTCGAGTGTCCAAGAACGCGTATTTCCCAAACCCTCGATACCCGCCCTCTCCGTCTTCGATCGAACCCCTTTTGGGGGGGAGACCTTTCTTCCCTGCAGGCCGGGCCCCGGCAAGCGGCGGGGCGGCCGCGGACCGTCGGCCTGGCCAGCGGCAGCGCTGATCCGCGGGGCGGCCGCGGACCGTCGACCCAACCACAAGAGGGACGGACAGGGGACCGACCACGACGAGGACGACGACGACGACGACGTCGACGTCGACCGGCGACGACGACTAGTGACGACGAAAAACGACGGCGACTACAGCGAAAACGAAGATGCGAGAGGAGAACGACAGGCAGGCCCGGGGGGGGGGGGGGGGGGGGGGGGGGGGGGGGGGGGGGGGGGGGGGGGGGGGGGGGGGGGGGGGGGGGGGGGTGGGGGGGGGGGGGGGGGGGAAGCGAAGGACACGAAGTATGCCACGAAGGGCGACAGCGGGGCACGAAGGAAATGCGTAATGGTGCCACGAAGAGCGTCGAACTAGGCGGAGGGCCACGAATTGCAGATAATGCGGGCCACAAAAGTCAACGATGGGGCCAAACGATGGGCCACTGAAGGTAGCAAATGGCCCACGTAGGACAGTGAGGGGACCACACACGGCGAAGCGGGCCACAAGGGCCGGCACAATGGGCCAAAACGGCGGCGAACGAGCGGGGGCCCCGAAGGGCATACGTATATTGGGCCGCGGAGGGCAAAACGTGCCACTAAAGGGCAGTCTAAACGGGGCCACGAAGGGTAGCAGGGGCCACGAAGGGCATGCAATAATGGGCAAACCACGGCGCGAACGAGCTGGGCCACGAAGGTCAGCGAGGGTCCACGAAGTGCCGCAAACGCGTCCACGAAGGGCATCGTGAGTGGGGCCACGAAGGGCAGCGAGGGGGCCACGAAGGGCTGCAACGGGGCCACGAAGGGCTGCGACGGGGCCACGAAGGGCAGCGAGGGGGCCACGAAGGGCTGCAACGGGGCCACGAAACAAAGCGAGGGGGCCACGAAGGGCTGCAACGGGGCCACGAAACAAAGCGAGGGGGCCACGAAGGACTGCAACGGGGCCACGAAGGGCAGCGAGGAGGCCACGAGGGGCTGCAACGGGGCCACGAAGGGCAGCGAGGGGGCCACGAAGGGCTGCAGCGGGGCCACGAAACAAAGCGAGGGGGTCACGAAGGGCTGCAACGGGGTCACGAAGGGCAGCGAGATCCTAGGTAATCTGTGAGGGAATCCTAAGCGTGAGCGCGACTCCTGGGTGCCTGGGTGTCGGGAGCGCGGCGCTTGAGTAAATTGCAAGAAAGTCCAACGCAAGGGCGCCATTGTATGGTAAATTGCAAGCACGTCTCCAGCGAAAGCACGACTCCAGAGCGCCGGGAGAGCGATTCGTGAATGAATTGCAAGGAAGTCCCAAGCGAGAGCGCGATTCCTGAATAAAATGCGAGGAAGTCTCGGGCAGGAGCGGGGGTCCTGGCTAAACTGTGAGGAAGTCTCAGGCGGGAGCCGTTGTTGTTGTAGTCCGGGGGGCAGGGGGCCAGTTTGAGCAGGAAGACTTTCCTTGACAAAAAACCAGGGGCGAGCCCCGGGGGGGCACTTCAATTGAAAAAATCAATGTGCACCGGTGTGGGGTGATCAACAATAATTATTCTTCAAGAATAAAAGTTCAACAACAACAACAACAACAACAACAACAACAACAACAACAACAACAACAACGACAACGACAACGACAACGACAACGACAACGACAACGACAACGACAACGACGATGACGACGACGACGACGACGACGACGACAACAACCATCCGCACCGCTAAACCTCACTTCAGCCACGCGCCCAGGGACAGTGAATGACCGTTCGGCCTCCTCACTCTGATCAAGTTGTGCGGCCCTGGTACTCACTCGCTCGACCTGACTGACTTAACCTCCTCCTCCTCCTCCTCCTCCTCCTCCTCCTTCTCCTCCGCATCCGCAACCTCATCCTCCTCCTCCTCATCCTCTTCCTGATCATCCCCCTCCTTGTCCCCCTCCCCCATTCCATCATCATCCTGATTGACCTGTTCCTCATCCGCCCCCTCTTCCTCCAATCCTCCTCCTTCGAGGCCACTCCTCGTTCTCATTCTCCCCATCCCCTTCCCTTCGTTTTGCAACCATCCTCCCCATGCTCCTGTTCCTCAAACCCTTGCTCCTCCCCATGTTCTTCCTACTCCTATTCTTCGTCAACTTCTCATCCGTTCCTCCTCCCCTCCCTCCTCGATATAATCTCCGTATCTCCCTTCAATATCGCTACAATCCTTCTCCTCGGTCTCCCCTTCTCTTGTCGTCCTCCTGCTCTTAATCAACCAAGCCTCCTCCACATTATCCTCTTTATCACCAGATTGCCCCCGTCTTTCCCCTGCTCCTCCTGCTCCTCCTCCTCCTCGTTCCCCTCCTCCTCCTCTACCTCCTCGCCCACCTCCCCGCTGTCATTCTCCTTCGCCCCTCCCCTTTGCTTTCCAATCCTCATCCCCCTCTTCCTGTTCCTCATTCCCTGGCATCTCTGACAGAGGCATATGAATATTGAGCCAATGGCAATAAAAGGAATGATGAACCTCCCTAGACACCTGGCAAACTCTTTTTTGGAGAACTCAACAACACGCGTGCGGGGCACGACGGAGAACGCGGTTGTATTTGAAAACCACTTTCTTCCACACCAGACGTGTGGATGAGAAGCACACCACACCGGAGGAGAGGAGAGGAGAGGAGAAAGGAGGAGCAGGAAGACGAGGCGGAGGAAGAGTGGGCAGCGTGGTCGCTCCCCAAGAACGACTGTGACGCGCAGAGGAAGGCGACACGAGGCACTTCAAATTGGGCTCAAAACAAGGCCCCGAAATCGAGCCATGGCCCCGGGCACGCGAATTGCCACGAGCGGCCGACAAAACGTTGTATTGACGGCAGGCAGCAAGCAACGAAGCCAGGCAAAATCGCCGGCCCCACGGGCCAGAAGCGTGCGAAAGTCTGCGGCAAGAGCTTCAGAATCTTTCTCGTTCGAGCGCGCGCGGCGGCCCCCTGGGCCCCCAGCCCGGGGTCCTCCGACGGAAAGTGCCCCAGGGAGGTCCTGGCAGGTTCCCAGCAGGGGCGGGTCGCGGGTGCCGGACGGAACTCCTGGGCGCGGCCCTTTGGGGGCCCCCAGAGCGCCCCAGGAGCGCCCCAGGGAGGCGCAGAAAAGGCGGCAGGCCCCACGGCCTCAGCACAAGAGCGTTCCAGGATGGTCCAAGTTGGTCTTAAGACAGCCCAGGAGGCGCCCAAGACGCCCCAGGAGGGCTCCAAGAGGACCCGAACAGGGCCCGAAGAGAGAACATGAGTTGATGTTGCTAGGGACGTTCTTTGAAAGATCTTGGCGGCCCGGGAGGCCTCCAAGATCGCCCCAAGTCAGGCCAAAAGGCTCCCGGGACGAGGCTTCCCCAGAGGGCTCAAGAGGCTCCCACGAGGGCCCCAACAGGGGGAACCCGATAAGACACACCGAGCCTCTCCCGAGTATTGGGCCCCGAGAGACCGCCAGCAGGCCCCCAAGAAGCTCTCATGAAGAGCACGACAGGATGCCATACGGAGCCTCCAAGAGGCCCCAGGAGGTCCAAAACATGCCGCCAGAGAGGCCCCCGAGGGGCCTCCCAAGAGACCCCAAGAAGCCTTCGGAAGAGGCGTCGTGTTCGCGACCCAGTCTGGTCCCCACAGTTCCATAAGAAGCCGTCGAAAGGTCTCCTCCTCCTCCTCCTCCTCCTCCTCCTCCTCCTCCTCCTCCCCTATCCTCCTTCTCGCCCGCCATGGGCATGGGCCAAGGGTACACCAAAATATATCAACAGTGGTGCAAAATGGGCTGGCGGAATGAGCGAAGCGATTAAACGACACGTCTTACGAATGACTGCACCACGGAGGAGGACGAAGGAGGGATCGGCGACTCCGAAGGGTGCGGTTTGCAACCCGCACCCTTCGGAGGGCGAGCGAGGCCCTCGACAGAGCGTTCCCCGCCGCGCCCCCAGGAGGCCCGACGAGGGCAACGTGGTGCCTCGCAAGGCCCGGCGCCGCAGATCGCAAACCACACCCCGTCGGCATAACCACACTCTGTGCAGTCGCCGGACGAAGCGGCGGCCTGTCCATTCCGCGTGCGGCATGGCGGCGTGCAGCGCGGAGCAGCGATTCTGAGGCGGAGTGGCAGGAGGAGCCTCCGCGGCCTCGGCCACGCGCGCTGTCCCAGTCTGGACCGCGGCCCAGTCACTTTGCAGGCGATGTGCTAACACCTCCACCTCCTCCGCTTCCTCCCCGCCGTCGTCCTCCCCCTCCCCGTCGTCGACGTCATCCGCCTCCTCCTCCTCCTCCTCTTCCTCTTCCTCTTCCTCCTCCCGGTCGGCCTCCTCCTCCCCCCCCCGCGTTTCCTCATCCTCCTTTTCCTCTGCCTCCTCCCCGTCCTCCTCCTCCACATCCTCCTCCTCCTCCACCCCCGCCTCCACCTCCTCCCCCTCCTCATCCTACTTCTCCTCCACATCGCCTGGCCCCCGCCCCTAGCCCGGGCACCTGGCCCGGACGCGGGATCGGGAGACGGTGCAGCTTGAAGGAGTTGGGCCCGTACCTGTGCGTCGTCTCGGTGGACAAATCCTTCGGGCTGCGGTCGCCGGCGCGGTCAGGCGCGGGAGCTGTGGCGCGAAGCTCGGGGAACATCAACTGACCACCCAGCCGATCCTGGCCAGGCTCGTCCTGTGCCCCGGACCAGTGCACACGCCTTCCTGGCCAAGCCAAGCGGGCGCGCGCACCGATCATCGGCCGTAGGAGGGCCCATGCAGGATCGGTGAGGACTTCAGCTGACGCCCCTCGAAAGGTGAGGACGCCTCCTCCTCCTCCTCCTCCTCCTCCTCCTCCTCCTCCTCCTCCTCCTCCTCGAATGGTGGCCAGGTTTGCCCAAGATCCTGGCCACTGGGCCCATCCCCCGAACTTGGACGAGGCCGGCAGCCGCACCGCGCGCGCGCCTCCTCCTCCCTCCCCCCTGCTCCCAATCCTTTTTTTCATCTCCGTGAACTCCCACCTCACAGCCGAGCAGTTGATTCTTGACGGGCGAAGAACGGTATAAAATAAACTTTCCAGCCGCCCAGGGACAGGCGCCCCCGACAGCGAAAAAGTTGATTGTATACCGTTCTTCGCTCGCTGAGATTCAGGAACCCCATCATGGCTCGTCGACGGCAACCATCGTGTGGATGGATTGGCCAGTCAGGCCGCCGAGGAATGTCGTGTGCCGGGCGCGGATCGGGCGACGGTCGATACGATCGAGCGCACGGCATGGCTCGTCAGGCACAGGTTGCTGCGCAGCAACCTCGACGCGCTGCAGGCCGAGGAGCGGTGTGGAGCGCCCGCGAGGGCGAGGATGAAGGGGCCTCCTCCTCCTCCCCCTCCCACCCCCTCCGTCGTTCGCGCTTTTGTCTCTCAGCACTCCCTTGATGAGTCTAGGCAGCGTTGCATTCGTTGTTGGAGGTCGGCTTCTAAGGCGACCATGTCTGAATGGCTTGCGACTGAATGCTTTCTAATCTTGAGGTGAATGATATGCTCGGGGCCCTTCCTGCTGGGTCGAGGGGTCACATAAGATGCGTCTCTCGAAAGCTCACAAAAATTGGTTTTGCGCAGGGTGTGGTTTCTTCGCGCATTCCCAGATGCGCGAGCTAGCCAAGCCCTGCCAGAATCAAGGGCGTATCTAGCCAGACTGAAGAGGGTAAGTGGCCCAAGCAGTTTAGCAAGGCTGAGCTGCAGCGCCGCTCGTAGTTCGTTCGACCCACCACGTGGGATAGCTCGCAACTCGCCAATCCTCTTCCTCCTCCTCCTCCTCCTCCATTACTCCTCCTCCTCCTCCTTCCTCCTCCTCCTCCTCCCCTCCCCCCCTCCTCCTCCTCCTCCTCCTCCTCCTCCTCCTCCTCCTCTCCTCCTCCTCCTCCCCTCCTCCTCCTCCTCCCTCCCTCCCCTTCCTCCTCCTCCTTTCCTCCTGTTCCTCCTCCTCCTCCTCCTCCTCCTCCTCCTCCTCCTCCTCCTCCTCCTCCTCTCCTCCTCCTCCTCCTCCCTCCTCCTCTCTCCTCCTCCTCCTTCCTCCTCCTCCCCCCTCCCACTCCCTCTCCTCTCCTCCTCCTCCTCCTCCTCCTCCTCCTCCTCCTCCTCTTCCTCCTCCTCCTAGTCTTCCTCCTCCTCCTCCTCCGCCTCCTACTCCTCCTCCTCTCCCTCTCCTTTCTCATCCTCCACCTCCTCTTCATCCTCCTCTGCCTCGTTATCCTCCTCCTCACCATCCCCTGCCCTCACGTCTCCACTTCCTCGCCACCCTCCTCGACCTCCTCCTCATTTATTTCCCAGGGCGGAGGACGTCAGTGACACACCTCAGCCAGCACAGAGGTAGCCTCCTGCGGGGTGGCGCTCCACGGGGCGCCAGCCATTTACGCCACCCGCAAGAAGCGTCAGCGGGGGAGGGTTCGGTGGTGTATCGGTGCCTTCCGCGCCGCCTCCTCCCTGCCAAGGCAGGCTGCCTCCTCGGACACTCGCTGCACAGTGAAGCCGAATATGGCCGCGCACTCCGCCTCGCTCCAACCCTCACCCTAGGGCGACGACAACCAAGTCCCGCTCCCTGCACCGCCCAGGGTATGGAAGTTGACAGCACTCGTGGCGGCCAGGACGGCCACATCAGCAGGACAGACAGGCCGCAGTGCACTTATCTACCTCCCCCTGTACTTGAGGCACAGGAAGGAAACTCCCCCTTCACGACACGGCTTCGCTGCCTCTTCAACTGTGAGGGGTGAGGGGGCGGCACAAGGATTTCGCCGCCCCCCAACTGGAATCCCCGCATCTGGTGCAAACCAGCACGGTGCCCCCCCACTGATCAGACGATCATCATCAGGTCAAAACACTGCAGCCTTACGCAGACAGCTCCAAGCATACGAATGAAAGCAACCAACTCGTCATGCTGCTCAGGTGACGCAGCAACCGGACGGGTCCCGATTCGAATGCTTGGCAAGGTCGGCTGCTGGAGACGGGTTCTGCCAGTCCCGACCCATCGGGGACCACTAGATTGTCAGTCGCGCAACTCACGATCGGCCCCTCAAGCCCCATGCTCCCCCGCCCAGCGCGCCGCTTGACTATCGACAGACTCAAGGACACGGAGCGTCAGCGCTGCGTCGGGAGCGGAAGGACGACAGCGCGCCCTGCGCTCGCGTCAGCAAGCAGCCGCATCAGAACCGCGCTCGTGGAACGGCCTCAAGGGCCCGCGGTCCACATCGATCCACGACGAGGGGGCCCTGACCTTCGAGAGCGCGAGGGGTTCGAACCGGTAGTGACCCCCCCCTGTTTTCCGGAGGGGGGTGGGGGTGGGGGGGAGGGGTTCGAACGGGAAGTGACCCCCCCCGGTTTTCCGCTAGCAGCGGTAGAACACGCTCTTTCTGACCTTCACACTGGGCGGAGCCTCACCATCGTATCCATCAGAGCAGCGCGCCCACCAGCGTGCTCGGCAGCGTGCTCCACCTGCCGTAGACCCAGGGGGCGAGGCAACGGCGGCCGTGCCCGAGCAGTCTAATCCTGTGGTACGCGGCAGGTCCCGTGACACGTCCCTGGGTCGCCATGCACATGGAATACATCTCCTCCTCCTCATCATCCTCCTCCTCCTCCTCCAAGGGACAATCTCCAAAGGAAAGGGACGGCCCCGTAGCAGCCTGTCGGGGAAAGCCCATCATCATCGACCACGATCAGCCCCCGTCCAACACGCGAGAGCAGTGGGCTTGTAGGGACAAGGGCCGAGCCAGCAGGGAAGACGTTGCCTGAGAGAGCTCGGTCTGTGTGGGCCTAGGGGGAGGAGGAAGAGGAGGAGGAGGAGGAGGAGGCGGAGGGAGATGGATCAAGAGGAAGAAGAGGGAGAGGGAGAGAGGTCTGTATGGGGCTTGAGGCAAGACGAACAAGCCGCGGTCCTTAGGCAGGTTGACGATGCTGATCGCCTGGAACGGGCACTTCTTCACGCAGATGCCGCAACCGATGCACAGCACCTCTGACGGACCCACAAAACAGTACCCGGCAAGCTGGCGTTGCGATGACGCCTGCGAGAGTTTCTGACACCGCGTGGAGGAGGAGGAGGAGGAGGAGGAGGAGGGGGAGGAGGAGGTGAGCAGGAGGAAGGGGAGGAGGGGGGAGGGGAGGAGAGAGGGAGGAGAGGAGGAGAGGAGAGAGGAGGGAGGAGGAGGGAAGGAGGAGGAGGGAGGAGGAGGAGGAGCCTCTGACACCGCGTGGATCGCTCCGCCCTTTGCGACCGAACCTTCCTGACCGCGCAGATCCCCCGGGGTCGGCCGACTCCGGGCCACCCCGGGGCGCTCAGGCTCCCACGCCCGCGCTGGGGCCGCCGCCGCGGCGGCGCGGGGCGAACCTGCCACAGACGCGCGTCAGCTGCCCGTGAAGGGGCCCCAAGACACACACACACACACACACACACACACAGACACACACACACACACATAAATATATATATATATATATATATAAGTAAACACAACTAACAGGCGTCCCCAGATTTCCCCACATCCTCGGGGTTTCCGCCTTCCCCCCCTTCCCCCCACCCACCACCTCCCATATCCTCCCATTTTTTGTGGGGAATCGACGATGGATTTTGTGTGCCGGTGGATTTTTGTGTGGGGAATCGACGATGGAGTTTGTCTGTGTGTGTGTGTTTTCCTACGTGTGGGGAATCGACGACTGGATGTTTGCCTGCTCACACGATGGATTTTTTGTGTGGGGAATCGACGATGGATTGTGTCTGTGCGTGTTTTCCCCCTCCTGAGTTCCGAGGTCCGCGCGGATCCTGCGGGCCGGCGCTGGGCACCGGCGCCAGATGCGCCGCCCAGGGGTCGCGTCGACAAGGGCTCCCAACTTCGCGCTTCGCGCTCCGCGAAGCGCGAAGCGCGAATAACTTCGCGCCCTCGCGCCGCCCCCCCAAAGGGAGAAAAGGAGGACGAGGAGGAGGGGGAGGAGAAACGAGGACCGCGAAGCGCGAAGCGCGAATAACTTCGCGCCCTCGAGGGAGCCCTTGCGTCGAGAGGTCCGGCGCCCACCGCCGACCCGAGAGGTCCGCGCGACGATCCGAAGCACTGTAGGGAAAGGAACTCTATATGCACCGGCACGGCTCCCTCGGGAGCGGCAAAGAGGGGGGTGTCCAAGAGGGGGGGGGTGCAATAATTTGCTACTCCAGAGTTCGTAATAAAAGGGAGGGGGTCTGGACCCTCCAAGACAAGCCATTTCAGACCTCCCCCGTGGGAGAACCCTCCAAAACATCGTCCCCAGACCCCCCAGGCCCTCCAAGATAGCCTGGAAGAGACCCCCCCCCAAATGAGACCCCCCTCCCTTTATTATCGGGAGCGGCCAAGAGGGGGGTGTCCAAGAGGGGGGGTGCAAATCATGACCGGCGGCATGTGCGCGGCCCAGCGGGGGGGCCAGGGACGCAATGAAATAAGAAGAGGCGCCATGAAATCTGGGGAAATATCATGGCCCGCGCCATGATATCCACCCCCCCCCCGAGTCATCACCCCCCTCTTTTCCGCCCCCGATTCCCGACCCTGCGCTGAAATTCGCACGGGGACGCGGATTCTGGTGTATACGGGATCCTGGTGTATACATGTTTCGCTGTTTTCCCGGGACATCGGGCAAAAAAATATACACCACACCACCCCAGCGTCGTCCTCGACCCTCAATAAAGTCCTGGGGTTCAAGAAACAGCCCGCCACTGGTAATGTATACGTTCCAGTTTCCGACATTAGGCTCGTGCAGTTCATCGATTGGAAAGGTGGGTAAGGAATCGGCCGCATGAAATCGATTTTCCTGGTGCCTGGAGGCGCCAGGAGCGGCCGTGTTATTGAGGATTGTGCCCATCGGCGAAGACGAAGCCCCTTTACAAGCCTCCAAGAACGGCTTCCCAGCCCAATTCGTTTTTGATGGCATGGGGGCCGAGTTGACCCCCTCTGGAGGCCCGAAATGTACAGAAACAGTGTGTCGCGTCTGGGTCCCAGGTCCTTGCTGGAACTCTGGGCCTCAACACTGGGGCTTTCCCTGAGACATTCGCTTTTCTGTTTAGTTTCTGACGGTGGGGAAGGCCCCGTCGACCAGAAAACCGTTGACAAACGGATGGATTTCCTCCATGCTGGCCTTCCTCCCCGGGATGCGAACATCCAGGTCGGGATGAATGCATCAGCCGATTCCTCCTCTTCCTCCTCCTCCTCTTCGTCCTCCTCCTCCTCCTCCTCCTCCTTCTCCTCACCCTCCTCCTCCTCCACCTCTTCCTCCACCTCCTCCTCCTCCTCCTCCTCTCCATCTTCTCCTCTCTCTCTCTCTCTCTCTCTCTCTCTCTCTCTCCTCTCTCCTCTCTCTTCCTCCTCTCCTCCTCCTCCTCCTCCTCCTCCTCCTCCTCCTCCTCCTCTCCTCCTCCCCTCCTCCTCCTCCTCCTCCTCCTCCTCCTCCTCCTCCTCCTCCTCCTCCTCCTCCTCCTCCTCCTCCTCCTCCTCCTCCTCCTCCTCCTCCCCTCCTCCTCCTCCTCCTCCTCCTCCTCCTCCTCCTACCTCCTCATCCTCCTCCCTCCTCCTCCCCTCCTCCTCCTCCTCCTCCTCCTCCTCCTCCTCCTCCTCCTCCTCCTCCTCCTCCTCCTCCTCCTCCTCCTCCTCCTCCTCCTCCTCCTCCTCCTCCTCCCCTCCTCCTCCTCCCCCTCCCCCTCCTCCTCCTCCTCCTCCCTCCTCCTCCTCCTCCTCATCCTCCTCCTCCTCCTCCTCCTCATCATCTCCATCATCATCATCATCATCATCATCATCATCATCATCATCATCATCATCATCATCATCATCATCATCATCATCATCATCAGCAGCATCATCAGCATCATCATCAGCATCAGCATCAGCATCAGCATCATCATCATCATCAGCAGCAGCAGCAGCGGCATGAGCATCAGCATCAGCATCAGCTCCAGCATCAGCATCATCATCACCATCATCAGTAGCAGCATCATCAGCATCAGCATCATCAGCAGCATCATCACCATCATCATCAGCATCAGCATCAGCATCAACATCAGCATCATCAGCCTCATGATCAGCAGCATCAGCATCACCATCCTCATCGCAACCATCAACCAGCATCATCATCGTCCTTATTAACCTCCCCTTCCTCCTCTTCATCATCTCCTCATCGTCCTCCTCCTCCTCCTCCTCCTCCTCTTCATCCTCTTCCTGCTCCTCCTCGTCCTCCTCCTCCTCGTCCTGCTCCTCCTATTCCTTTTCCTCTCCCTCCTCCTCCTCCTCCTCTTCCTCCTTTTCCTCTCTCTCTTCCTCTTCCTGCACTTCCTTCTCCTGGTTGCAAAAAGAAACGGGGCAGAGGCGGGCCAGCGCGGAGCAGCAGGGGGAGAGGTGGTGCACAGACCACCAATCTCAATCGCTACAGTTCGCGGGATCAGCCGGCCCCTGCTTCGCGCAAAACCGCCGCGTCCCCGCGGCAGCCTGAGCTGCTGCCGAACTGTTGGGCCGCTGTTCTTTTGCAAGGCCACCGACAGTTCAGCGCCACAGCGCTGGCAGAGAGCGCTGAAGACCGCCCCAGCCTTGTCCTCCTCGACATGCTGCGCCCGGTCGCGCGCCAGCTGCCGGAGGTGGCGCAAGGCGGCCATGCCGTGGCGCCCGCCTGTATCGAAGGCCAAGGCCCTCGGGGTAGCGTTGCCTTTTGTCTGCCTCTGCTGCGGCGGCCACAGCGCCGTCGCGGCCAGTGGCCGCGGCCAAGCCCACCGCGTCTCCAAGCACGGCGTACCAGACTCTCACATCTTTGCACAGCCCCGGACAGCCGATACGCTGTGCCTCTATATCGAAGATAGTTTCCTCTCTGCGGGTGTCGAAGGGCCGGCCGCAACATCCGCAGGCGCCGGGCTGTTGGTGGCCCGCGCTTCGGGTGTCACAATTCTGGCAACGCCACACCCACCAGTCCCAACTGGGACATGGACCTGCCAGGCCGCCCTCGTTGCGAATGCGCTGCTACACGTCCTCAAAGTCGCTGCTGCACGACTTGACGCCGCCGCCGCAGGAACACCGAAAGGCGCGGTGTGTTTTGAAGCAGAGTCTTTCTCCGCAAGCCCAGCCTGCGCGCGGGTAGAGCTCCTCGTCGTTCAGTCGGCGCCCCACCGCCCCCAGCGCGGCCTGCTGCCAGGCCACCGCGCGCGGCACGCCGCAGGGGTACAGCCTCGCCTTCCCCTTGCTCGCGCATGCGTTCCGCAAGGCCGACAAGGTCCTCTGGCCAAGCCTTCACGCGAACGTTTTCTGCACTTTGGTGCGGGGTTCGTGGGCAGGGGTGGCCCAAGCGGGGAGGGCGACGGCCCCTCCCAGTCGCCGCCAAGCGGCGCGGCGCCGGGTTTCGGCGGCGGCTGCAGCAGGCGGGCGGCCCGGCAAGCTGCGGCCAGGGGCTGCTCGGCCTACTCCGAATCGTCAGACGCCGCCCAGAAGGCGCGGGCCCAGACCTCCGCGACGCTCGGGGCCCAAGAGCCAGCCCAAACCGACGGTGCCAGCTGCCCCTGGCGGTGGGGGCCCCGCCACCGAGGCGCTGTGTCTCCGCTACCGAGCACCACAAATAATAAAGCACCCCCCCATTAACTCCTTAGAGTTGACTATCCCAGGCCAAGACACAGCTGGTCGGGGGAACGGGGCGGCGAGGCCGACCTTCATGATCGCAGGGAAGACTACGAATCGATGTTGCGCGCTCTTATGCTAAGCAGCAACACTACCACGAACGCCTGGCAGGGCAATGGGATTCTCACCATTCCCTCTCTCCCCCTGGCGCCCTTTCCTCCTCTCATCTCCCTCCTCTTCCCCCAAGCCCTTCCCCTCACCATGAACTCCTATATACACGTGCACTTGGACGATATAAAAGAAATAGGTTTGGAAACCTGAAAACCTCAGGTCCCGAAGCTGATATTTTCTCCAAACCGGATCAGGCGCATCCCTCACATCCCCTCCCCTCCATCCTCTCGCACCCT